CTTCAGCTCTTTGTATTGCTTCAAGAACTCTCTGAAGGGCTGGTTTTGTGGACAAGAATTCCTTCAGCCTATTTATGTCATGGAAGATTTTTCTTTCCCCTTCAACTATAATAGACATTTTGGCTGGATATAGTAATCTGGGTTGGCATCTGTGGTCATTTAGAACTGGAAATATTTTGGTCCAGGCTCTTCTGGCTTTCATAGTTTGCACTAAAAGTCGCTTGTAATTCTGATGGAGTCTTCCTTTATATGTGACTTGTTGTTTCTCTTTTGCAGCTTTCAGAATTTTCTCTTTGTTTTGTGCATGTAGTGTTTTTACTACGATGTGCCATGGAGAGTTTCTGTTCTGGTCCTGTCTGTTTGGTGTTCTGTATGCTTCTTGTATTTGTATGGGCATGTCTTTCCTTAATTTTGGAAAATTGTTTTCCATGATTCTGTTGAAGATCTGGTCCATGCCATTATCTTGGGATTGATTCTTCTCCTTCCTGTATGCCTATGATTTATATGTTTGGTCTTTTTATGGTGTCACACAATTCCTGCATATTCCATTCTTGTGCTTTCTTACATTTTTCATAATCTTTGCTTGAGTGGTCTAGTTCGTACACTTTATCTTCCAGTCTTGATACTCTGTTTTCCATTTCATTCATCCTATTGGTTAGGCTTTCTCCTGTTATTTCTAATTGGTTATTGAGTGTTTCACTTCCTTCTCCATTTCAGCCTGACTATTCTTCAATATTTCTAACTCTTTTCTGAATTCATTCAGCAGTTTATCCCTATCTTCTTTCAGTTCTTTTCTTTGTGTGTTCTTTAAATTCACTGAATTCTTTTATCATGCTTATAATTGTTCTTCTGAATTCTATGTCCTGTGTTATCTCTGGGGAGTTCTCATTGTACTCCTCTGCAAGACAGTTGGTACCTGGTGGGGATATATTATTTGGGTTTTTCATGTTATTATTTTTTTGCTGTGACTTTGACATGTGGCTTTCTTTTGTAGTTTCTGATTCCTGTGTGAGACCCAAGTCTCTCTTTGTTGAGTTTAGGTCTGCTTCTTTTTGTAAACTTTGTGTGCCTTTGTGGTTTACTTGTTGGGCATGAAAAGCTGGTTCTCTTCAGGTTATCTCTTTTGATTTTACATTGGAGGGGCCAAATTGATTTTGTCTTCCTGCTCAAGAGTTCCCACAGGGGCCCAAGTCGGATGAGTATAAGATGCTCTCAGGTTTTCTCCTAAGGACTGGATCCCTCCAGGAAAGCTGGCCCCAGGAAGTTGGGAGGGCTGGGCCACCCAGAGATGCAAAGGGAGGTGGGGAGGGGAAGAGGCCCCGAGGGTTCCTGGAGACTTGAGGGAGGAATTGGGTTGGTCTAGATGCAAAGGTTCAGGAAGCAGTGGGGAGTCTGGGCCAAGAGATCAGTCCAGAGGTCTGGGGTGCCAAGACAAGAAATGTGCCAGTGCACCTGCTAGGAGGAGAGATGGGGTGGGGAAGCTGGGAGGGTGAATGAGGCTGGAGGAGTCAAGGTGCAGTGGGCTTAAGAGTTATTGCTGTAATCTTACTATTACAAGGATTGGCTTAAAAATAAAATATATGTCTGATCAAGGTTTATTTAAGAGCATTTAGTTTATGGCTAAATATTATATAACTCTTAAAAAAACAACAGACTGTTATAACTGACTTTTAGGTGATTAACAACCATACCTGGAGTTCACTACCCTGTTGTAGTCCCTCAAAATTTCCATATTATTGTTACTGATTTAAAAGATTGCCTTCTCAGAGAGTTGTCATTTCTATGCCTAATTTCAATAGCTAGACATTTATGTCTAATTTTTAAATGGGGAAACTTCATTTATAGCCCTATCTTCTGTTAATATTGAGTAAATAATACAATATACTTTATTTGAAAAAAATTTTCCTAATACTTATATATTTCCTAATACCTGAATGATATCTTATTAGCCTTTACTAAAGATATAAATATAATTGTTTTTGTTTGCTTGTTTTTTGAGACACAAGGCCTCCCTGTAGCCTCAGCTGGCCTGGAACTATGTAGATCAGGCTGGTCTCCATTCCACAGATTCCCCTGCCTCTGCCCCCTGAGTGCTTGGAATTAAAGGTGTCACTACACCCAGAAAATCTAATTGTTTTGGAATACTTACAAACCTCATCAAAAAACTTTACGGCTAATGAAATTTGGCTAAATGTTCATTTAACTATTTTGGATATAGTGAGACATAATGAAATGGGAGAAAGAGAGTCCCCTAAAGGGTTCTTAGTCTCATTCATAAAAGAATTTAAGAATGGACCCAAGAGGAAGTTTTTACAATTTTATTAGAATTTTAAAGAAAATTCCTCAGGGCAGGCGAGCTGATAATTTTGCTTTGAGGAGGAGAATGGTGGGGAGAAGGAAAGAAAGTCATGAAGCCATGCAGTTTTACAGCCTGTGTGGGGGTCAGACACATGGCTGACTGGCAGACACATGGCTGGGAGACGGAGGATTTAGAGAAAGTAAAGAAATACAAGATGCTAGAGGCAGCCCAAAGCCTTAAAAAAAAGCATGTTTAGAAAAGGGATATAAAGAAGGAGACATTACGCTTTTCTGAAGAATTCAGAAAAGTGGGCAGACTGACAGGGACTTACATGTTTGTGGCTGGGTTGAGGAGTTATGCTTTAGAAGGCAGGATCCTTGCAGAGAAAATTCACTACCTCATTAACACACTATTTAGCATAACTTAAGATGAACCTGCCTTCCTAGGGGTGGTTCTATCACCAGGTGATTGACCAGTGAGACTGGAAGGGTAAGTCCTCCAAGAGATAGACCAGGGATTTTATAGTCTTGACCAGATAAATTTCTGCAGCTTTTTGCTATTCTAATAATAAGCCTCATAAATTATAATTGTCTGTTTCCTAAAAAATAAGATTAAATTCTTTTCAACAGCTTTTGGTATTTTCAATTGACTTCAACCTTCCCTCAGAATTTCCAATTTGGCTTTTTCTCACATTTTTTCTCTTAAAAAGGAGACACCGATTTAAATCTGTCTCACCACACTGTGGTGCCTCTCTAACTCTTCTATTACAGCAGTTACAGCTAGAAGCTGAATCTAAAACAAAAACAGCTTTCTTATATACAATCAGATTTACCTATTTGTTTTTATTTTAATGTTTTTATTATTTTTATTTTATGTGTATGAGTATACTGCCTACATGTATGTAAGCACACCTGTGTTGTGCAATACCCTCAGAGGTTAGGAAAGGGCATTGAATTCCCTGGAAATGGAGTTACAGATGGTTGTTAGCTGCCATTTGGGTACTGGGATTCAAACCTGGGTCTTCTGCAAGAGCAGCCAGTGCTCATAAACACTGAGCCATCTCTCTAGTCCCATTTTAAATCTTTTAAAAACAACTGATACTTGAAATTTTCTAAATTGTTCATTTCTGTTTTCCCCCTTAATATCTGCTGGAAAAGCATCTTAAAAAATTAGAAGCTTTAACAAGCCCCATGGTTTTCTATAAACTAAGTTAAGGGCTAACTAATGGCTAGATCCTATTCCTCTCATTAATTGGAGCGGAGGCTCTACATTTGTGTTTTCTTCTACTGGTGATTGGTAAAGCGAAATCAACAACCTGGCAAAAGAGACCTTTTCCTAAATTTAAACCACATGAATAGCCATCCTGTTTGTGTGCCTTCTCCAGTGCTGCCCTGCCTGTGCCACCTAGTCCAGAGACCTAAGATGACTTCATGCTGACTCATGTTTCTTCTCCAGCACCACACCCTTTCCAGCCTACAGCCAAAGACCACCTTCATACTTCCTTGATTCAGCAAAGAAGGGGACTGTGAGAATGGATGTTTGAATGAATGAGATGTTTTCTAGGAACATGTTCTTTTACAATATGGGCAAGAGTCTTCATTTACAAAATAAAGGGGAACTGTGGGAATGACTTTTAAAAAACAGAATCTGAGGCCAGGGTGGTAGTGCATGCCTTAGGCGGATTTCTGTGAGTTCCAGGCCAGCCTGGTCTACACAGTGAGTTCCAAGCCAGCTGGGGTTACAGGAAGACCCTGTCTCAAAAGCCCCCCCCCCAAAAAAAGAATCTGGACTAAGGACTTTTATTTAACCTTGCAACCAAAAAGCTAATGTTTCTAACATAAAAAAGCTGGCTAAGTCTGTGCTCTTATGACCTGGCACCTGATCTTTATCCCTCAGGACCCCACTTTGCTCTTTAGATAGTGAATGAGTGTGGGTATAGTTGAATTAGCAAATCAAAGCACTGAATATAGACCATTTATATTTATAAAACTGGGAATGATTGACATTGTGGGTATAAAATGTATTTAGGCTAAAGAATAAAAGGGCAATGTTCTCTGATAAGAGTGAACCCAATTGAGGCTAGAGAAACGATTTTGAATAAAAGTATGGGTAAGGCTGGCTTCAGGAGCACAGTTCCATGTATCCAGGAGACATATGGAGGAACGGTACCCTCTGAGTTCAGGTCGATACCTAAAATTAAAGGTAAGAGCCAGATAAAATTGTAATGTTGGCATAGTAATGCTGCAGAGGGCTTTTACCTTCTGACGAACAGAGCCTCTTTTAAAGTAGTGGTTAGAATTAGCTACCTTGTACTTACTTTATTGTGATTTGCTCCTACCATGCCTCCCAGCAGAGTAGGTTCATGAATCTGAGGTTGACTATTGCTACTGTGGTGCTTTGAGCTTTTACTTGGCCACAGAAGAATGGGATTTCATATTCACAGTTCTTATTGCATATGATTTAAAAGAAAAATCTCATCTGGCTATATTTTTGGATTTCCTTCTCCCACCTCTCGCTAATTTATGACAAAATAAGTAGCATAAATTCAACTAAAACCTCTAAGTCACACTATTATGCTCTTTTGCAGAATCACATCAAAACAATAATTTGATTTTCATTGTTATCCAAATAAAATATTTAGAGCCTAGCTCGTATATCTAAATAAGATAGAACACTAAAAATATCACAGAATCAGACTCACTTGACATTTCTGACGCAGTTGTCGTAGTTCTTTTATAACTGGGGCTAGAGCAGACTTCTTTTCTGATACCAGGGAATTTAGTTTTTTCACCTGTTCATTTAAGCAAAAATGACATCTAAAAAAATTGAAAAGAAAATACTACATGCATAAAAATATCTATTGTAGTTAAAGAGTTGGATTTTTTTGTTTTGTTTTGTTTTGTTTTGCTTTGCTTTTTTGTCTTTGAGACAGGGTCTCCCTGTAGCTCCAGCTGATCTGGAACTCACTATGTAGACCAAGTTGGCCTTGAACTCACAGGGACCCACCTGCCTCTGCCTCCCGAGTGCTCGGATTAAAGGCATGCACCACCATGCCTGGCATAGTTAAAAGTTTTTTAAAAACCTGAAACTTATATTAGTGCCAATTAATAGGAAAGGGATTTAGCAAATGTTAAGTCTTTAGCAAGATGGAACACCACTTAATAATTCAAAATGTCAAAAATCAAGATTGCAAACCATTATGACAAAATGTTTATAATGTAACACTGAGTGACTGAAACAATTGCAAAGCTGCCAATACACCACTAAAATCGTGTTATATCATATAAATATATGTAATTATGCAGGATATATAAAATATCTACAAATACAGACTGAAGGACAGTCAAAATACTTAACCTGAATGGTAAGTAATGACCAGTCAGGACAGGGGTCCTGGTAGCCTCCTCAATACTAAATACCAATTTTTTTTTTTTTTTTCAGTCTTTTTGAGACAGGGTCACCCTGTAGCCCCAGCTGTCTTGGAACTCACTATGTAGACCAGGCTGGCCTTGAACTCACAGAGATCCACCTGCCTCTGCCTCCCAAGTGCTGGGATTAAAGGCATGCGCCACCACGCCCAGCTAAATACCAATCTTTTTAGGAATTAGATTTTGGTAAAATCCTGAAAATTCTAGGATAATGCCCAGAGTATCTGTGAGTTTGGGGCAAAAGTTATTTACCAACAAGTAGGGAAAGATTTTAATATGATACTTGATGAGAATGTACCAGTGATTCTGGTGATAGAAGCCTTGAATAAATGAAATTATTTTATTAGGTAGGGTGGTATGATTTGGAAAAACATCATAAATACTTCTTTAATGTTATATAAAAATGTATACTGTTTTAAGTTGAAAAATCATATTAGAATGGAAAAATTCAAGAGCGTGATTTAAAAAACATGAAGAATATAAACAATGTACAGAGGTGAAAATGTACATGTTTATCTGAAAATTAGACACAAACATCTGCCTTCTGCCAATAAAAGTCAATACAATAAAGACAGTGTAGTCACCATTTCAGACATATCATCCAATGTTCGTCCTTTCATCTCGTCCACTTCACTCTTCAGGGCTGACACTCTTTCTAGCTCCTCTTGGGTGTAACTGTATCCTGATACACCCTTTTTCTCCTCTATAGTTTGCTAAAAAAATGAAAAGGTCATGAGTATTGATATCTTGCTGGTTCCACAAGAAGTATGTTGAAAAAGTTGTGACTGATATAAATTTGTTTAGAACACTAAAGGCCACTCTTCACTGTCTTCAATTATTTCATTCAGGTACATGCCTTTTTAAATGCTATAAACTTACACTAAAATTTATCACATTATCTTCAGATGCACAGTAAGTATTTCAAACTTTAGATTCTCAAATAGTGCTATATGTTTAGCATAGAACCTAAAATACAGGGTATACCCAATAAATATTTAGTGAATGCGTGTGTTCACAAGTGACAAGTTGCATCATTCACTTGTTTAGTATATTTATTATACACTGTTTTGAACATAGCAGTGTACAAAAAGGGGGGGAAGTTCTTTCCTCAAAAAGGTTACTTCTGGTGGAAATAAGCAATATGAAAAGTGAGACCTTAGCAGACAGCCTAAGAGTGCCTGTTCTGGCCTCCATCAGTGTAAGAGCTGAGAAATCAGCAGACCACCTGAGAGTGCCTGATCTGGCCTCCCTCTGGCATAGGAGAACTCAGTAGACTGCCTGAGAGCACCTCGATCCAGCCTCCATGGACAGAATCAATGAAATGACCTGACAGTGAACCAGATGCTCCTAACGAAATTCCCTCAGGTCTCTCTACCACCGCCTGCCCTCCTGACCCCACACTTCAGACCAATGTTCCAGACTTTTGAGATCACTCCTGTTTGCCAGCGTCCTTGTCCAGCAGGAAGTAGCAAAAGAAAAGACCACCATTGCCCTTTATCATCAACAAAAGGTTGGAATGTTAGGTTCCTAGCAGGCTCCTAATATGGTGGTGCAGCTTCAAACATTCTAAAACAGTAGGTTCGAAATTAGCCGCAGGAAAGTCCCTCTGCTTATTGGGAGACCAACCAATCCTGAGCTAAACTGCCCAGCCTATGCCATAGAAAGTTACCCAACCACCTAACCACATATAAAAGATGTCTGACTTCCCCTGCTTGCTGCTGTGTCTCTGCTCCCTGAGAGGCAGTCCAGCAGTCTGTTTGCTCTCACATAAACTACTGCCCTCCCCCCAAAAAAGAAAATAAGTAAAATGCAAATAATTTGAGGTGATAATAGAATTAAAAACTTAAATCACAGGGTTGTTAGAGAAAGTGCATGACATCTGAGTAGAGCACTGATGGTAGTAAGGAAGTGAGAGTCCAGCAATGGGGTAGCAATCTTGGTTTGGAAGAAAAACATGAGTGTGCAGTATCCTAGAAGTGAAGAAAATTTGTGCATGCATGAGTGCACGTGTGTATTGGTGAACATGCATGTGTGTAGAGGCCAGAGGTCAACACCAGGTGTCTTTCTCAGTTGCTCTCCACTATATTTTTTGAAACAGGGTCTCTCATTGAACCTGGAGCTCATCTATTTGACTGAACTGGCTTCCAGCCAGTTCCAGGGATCCTCACATCCCCAGCACTAGAATTACAGGCATGCATTGCAGAACTTGGCTTTTATGTGGGGTCTGGGGATTAAACTTAGGTACTCATGCTTACATGGCAAACACTATACTGACTGCACCATCTCCTTGGCCCCTGAAGAAAAATTTACTGGATTGATCAACTGTTAAATGCTGTTAAAAGCTGAGTAAGAAAAGGACTAAGAATTGATCACTGTAGTTAGCAGTGTGGAAGTACTGGCTGATCTAATGAGAAATTTCTGTGGAATGGTAGGTTGCAAAATCTTATTGAAAGCCAGTCATGGTGGCACGTTTATAATCCCAGCACTCAGGCGACTGAGACAGGAGGATCAAGAGTTGGGAGTGATGGCTCAGCAGTTAAGAGCACTGGCTACTCTTGCAAAGGACCTGGATTCAGCCCCAACACTCACATAGAAGCTAATAACTGTCCAGTTCCAGGGAATCCAATGTCCTCTTCTGACCTCCGTGGGCATTGCATGACATGGGTGAACTTATATACATGCAGGCAACACACTCATACACATAAAATAAAAATAAAAACTATTAAAAAAAAAAAAAAGAATTCGTTCTTTTCCAGCTGGAACCATGGAGGCCATATCAGAGAAGACAAAGAAGGTTGCTGCTGTGCCAGAAACCCTTAAGAAAAAGCAAAGAAATTTTGCAGAGTTGAAGGTAAAACTCCTGTGAAAGAGATTTGCCCTGAAGATGCTTTGGAAGGCAAGGAGGACGCTTATTTATGAAAAGGCTAAGCAGTATCACGAGGAATACACGCAGATGTACAGGACTGAGATCTGAATGCCCAGGAAGGTGAGAAAAGCTGGCAACTTCCATGTGCCTGCAGAACCCAAATTGGCTTTTGTCATCAGAATCAGAGGTATCAATGGTGTCAGCTCAAAGGTCCACAAGGTGTTGCAGCTCCTTTGCCTGCGCCAGATGTTCAATAGCACCTTTGTTAACCTCAACAAGGCTTCAATTAACATGCTGAGGATTGTGGAGCCATACATTGCATGGGGGTATCCCAACCTGAAGTCAGTAAATGAATTTATCTACAAGTGTGGTTATGGCAAAATCAATAAGAAGCAGATTGTCTTGACAAATAACTCTTTGATTGCTCAGTCTCTTTGTAAATATGGCATCATCTGCATGGAGGATCTGATTCATGAGATCTATACTGGGAAACACTTCAAGGAAGCAAATAACTTCCTGTGGCCCTTTAAATTGTCTTCTCCATGAGGTGGAATGAAGAAAAAGACAACCCATTTTGTGGAAGGTGGAGATGTTGGCAACAGGGAAGACCAGATCAAAGGCTCATTAGAAGAATGAACTAAGGTGTCTCCTTACGGGATTTTTGTAATCTGGTCACTTAATAAAACAACTGCTTGTTAAATTGAAAAAAAAAGAAAAAGGAATTCAAGCACAGCCTAGCAAACACAACAAGATCCTGTCTCGAAGAATGAAAAAAAAAAAAAATCTTATTGAATAATATTCAAAAGGATTTCAGTTCTGGGCTGCCAACAGTACTAGACCCAAAGAAGTAGAAGGAATTACAGAGAATTAGCCCAAAATTCTGTATGCAATTTCCTTTTTAGGCATTATCCAAATCTTAAACTGTGCACAAGCAGACTAACCAGCTGCAATCAGGAAAGGGTTGCTTAAGAAAGAAGCATAGATTTCAATAGTTTCACAGTACTAGAAAGCTGGTGCTCTCAGGCAGTCTACTGAGTTCTCCTATGCCAGAGGGAGGCCAGATCAGGCACTCTCAGGTGGTCTGCTGATTTCTCAGCTCTTACACTGATGGAGGCCAGAACAGGCACTCTTAGGCTGTCTGCTAAGGTCTCACTTTTCATATTGCTTATTTCCACCAGAAGTAACCTTTTTGAGGAAAGAACTTCCCCCCCTTTTTGTACACTGCTATGTTCAAAACAGTGTATAATAAATATACTAAACAAGTGAATGATGCAACTTGTCACTTGTGAACACACGCATTCACTAAATATTTATTGGGTATACCCTGTATTTTAGGTTCTATGCTAAACATATAGCACTATTTGAGAATCTAAAGTTTGAAATACTTACTGTGCATCTGAAGATAATGTGATAAATTTTAGTGTAAGTTTATAGCATTTAAAAAGGCATGTACCTGAATGAAATAATTGAAGACAGTGAAGAGTGGCCTTTAGTGTTCTAAACAAATTTATATCAGCTGATGTCTCAGAAGGACTGCACCTTAGAACCATGAGTTTAATCTCTGTACTTTAGAAGCATGAGTTTAATCTCATAGTCAGAGCTAGGCCCCAAGGGTAAAAACCAATGCCTAGGTTTAAAGACTCTGCTTGAGTTATAAGGACTGTACCTTAGGAGTATACGAAAACTAGAAAAATGTCAGGTCTAACAAAACCCACTCTCAACTGGATCAACATGATCTTCAAGAAAAAAAATAAAGTCCTCTGTTTAAGGGAAGATGAACATAGCCAGGACCTTGAAATTTTAATCACAGTGATGTCTGATATCCAATAAAAACTACAGATAAGTAACAGGGTCAAATCAATGAAAATCAGGGGAAAAATAGGCAATAAAAATAGACGTTTGAGTGAGCTTATTAAAAAGGAACTTTGAAAGTTGATCAACATACTGAAGAAAACAAAACAGTTAGAGAATATTATATATAACTAGGACATATAAAATAGTCAAATGGAAATTCTGAGACTGAGAAATAGAATGACTGAGATTAAGAATTCAATAAAGGGAGCCAGGCACGGGGCACTTGCCTTTAAACCTAGTACTTGGGAGGCAGAGGCAGGTGGATACCTGTATGATCAAGGTCAGCCTGGTCTACATTGTGAGTTCCAGGACAGCTGGGGAAACCCTGTCTCAAACAAACAAAACCAAAGAAACAATGAATTCAATAAATTAACAGCAGACTTTGCATACACACACACACACACACACACACACACACAGGGGAGTCAATGAACTAGAAGGTAGGAAAACATAAAACAATCCAAATTGAATCCCTGAAACAATGGTGACAAATGAGCAACAACAAAAAAGTGAAACACAAAATCAATAAAAATATACGAGATGGCTAAGTGGGTAAAGTTGCTTGCTACCAAGCCTGATGAGTTCAATTCCAAGGACTCACATAGAAGGAGGCAAGAACTAACCCCTGCAAGTTGTCCTCTGACCTCCTCATGTGCTCCAAGGCACATGCACATGTCATAAACATAAATAAATAAGTGTAATAACAAAAAAGAAACATGAAAAACAGTGACTAAGTCTAACATTCATATAAGGAGTACAAGTAGAAAAGAGAATGAGATGGCACTCATTACTGAAGTAGCCAGTGCACTAGAAATCCCAACACAAAAGTAACTTGAAAATCTCCAAGGGTTTGATTTTTTTTTGGGGGGGGGGGGTTCTTTTTGAGACAGGGTCTCCCTGTAGCCCCAGCTGTCCTGGAACTCACTATGTAGACCAGGCTGGCCTTGAACTCACAGAGATCCGCCTGCTTCTACCTCCTGAGTGCTGGGATTAAAGGCGTGCGCCACCATGCCTGGCAGGGTTTTATTTTTAACTACAAGGCCAAAGGAATCACAATGGAAATTAGAAAATAATTTGAACAATAATACAGTTACTAGTATCAATTTTTAAAATTCTTAATTGAATTTTTACAACTTTCATACAATATAATTTGATGGTATTTAGATCCCCTCCCCTGCTACTCTCAATTTTAAAACTGGTGGTGTTAGAATCTATGTTCAGCTCACAGAAAATTTTCAGTCTTAAATTATCTAGAAGCTAGCTAGCTATCAGCATGAGACTGAAAAGTCACATTATAGCTAAGTGTGAAATGCCATTGACCTCTACCAGGATTACTGGTTCATAGGTAACACCCTGATGCAATACCTTTCTCCATGGGGGAAAAGGAAGAAAAATGTCAAACCAAGAGAACTGGGTCCCTGGCTACTGTCAATGCCAGTGACCTGACACTGACAGTAGCTTTGCTGCTGAGCTACTCTGGGGTCAGTTACCACCTGCCAACCAAGGCACAAACACATAAGAAATAAGCCTACGGGCAAACTTCCACTGAATGCCTTCCCTGGATATTTCTTTCCAAAGCTCCTTGGAAGTGCATGCTTAGGCCACGATAAATGTTTTATAGTCACTCTCTTGGTATGATAATTTTATTCATATTAACTAGCTAACCAAAAGAAAAACCTACTGGGACTTCCAACCTCTATTAATAACCTCAAAGTTAGCACATATTTTTAAAAGACAGTACTTACTGCTGCATTAAAAATAAATGAATCAGCTTATATGACATCTCTGCAATTAATCAAAGAAAATTAATAATTTTGCGATTTTCCAGTAAAAACAATGACCTCAGCATAAAGTTACAACCCATAAACCTCCTGGCATTTGTATATTTAGCAGCCCAAGATAAAGCTGTATTACCAGCTGGTGTTGAATAGCTTCCTGACGTTGCTTAAGAAGTTCTTCTGTCCTCTGTAACAGGCTGAATTCAGCTTTAAATTCAGCTATTATCTGATGCTTCTTTTTGAAGACTGTATTTTTGCTTCGCAGTTTGCTGACATAGCGTTTGAACTGTAGAGACATAACATGTAATGAGAAGAGCAGTACTCAAGGGATTCTTATTAACATGTGTGTCACAAATACAGAATAACTAGTTTTCTTTGAAAACTGGTACAAGCTGCTCAATTAAACATTATGTGTACATTTGAGAGATGGCTCAGCAATTAAGAACACTAAATGTTCTTGCAGAAGAACTGGGTTTGAATCCCAGCACCCACATAGCAGCTAACAACTGTCAGTAACTCCAGTTCCAGGGGATCCAACACCCTCTTCTGACCTCTGCAGGCATTGCACGACATGGGTGCACTTACACACATGCAGACAATACATACATACACATAAAATAAAAATAATATTTTTTAAAAATTCACCTAAAGATTCTAGACCCTTATATAAAAGCTATTTAATTGTAAACTTGACAAATAAGGACTGAGAAAAGAGAAAGTCCATAAAAGTAAAAGGCCTAAAAAGAAGAAAAGAGGGGGCTGGAGAGATGGCAGCTCTTGAGAGCACTGGGCTGTTCTTCCATAGGACCTGGGTTCAATTCCCATGTAGTGGCTAACAATGGTCCTTAATGCCATTTCCAAGGGAATCTGATGCCCTCTTCTGACCTCCAAGGGCATCACATGACATGAGTGCACTTACATACATGCAGGCAAAACACTCATACACACAAAATTAAATATTTTTAAAAAAAGAAAAGAGGAGATAATGACTAGCTCTGGCTCTGGTCTTGTCACAGTATATCTTATGTATTTCTGTGTTCTTCTGGTAGGAGTGCACTGGATTTATCAGGATTAATAGAGAAAAATCAGGATCAGCAACAGTGACTGTCACTTGAGAAATGGGCTGTGGCTATTTCCCTAGGAAACATCTAGGACAATGGGACAGGACTCATCCTAGAATTTAAAAAGCTATGAATATCACATAAGCTGGAATTCATAGCCATTAAATTCATTCACTTACCTACTCAATGATATATATTCAAGCGATAGCTACTCTACATTAATGGAAAGACCACATCACTAAGTAATATCAACTGCAGCCTGGAAACTCAAATAAATAAAATATTTCAAGAAATTCATATGCTAAATATTATTTATTATCTATTATGTACTAGACACTGTGGCAGAGGATACTACTCCAAACAAGGTGCTCCACTCATCAAGTTTAAGAAACAGTGGGGAAAAGAAATACTGACTTGAGGTTTACAAGCTTGGTGAATATCATAAGGAGCTGAAGGAGCCCTGAAAACAAACAGTAGTTTAACCTGGATTGGGATAGAGACAGGACAATAAGGATTGGAACTAGAAGAAGTAGTTTACAGGAAGCTTCTTGGAGTAAGTTATATTTAAGATAAAAATGGAGTGGGAGCATGTCAAAATGAAGGAGGAAGAAGCAGAGAAAGTGCTCCAGGAAGTGGGAACAGCACCTGTGCAAGTCCCAAGACACTTAGCTTAATGAAAGTATTGCTCAGTGTGAGCAGTACATGCCAGTAGCAAACGAAAGAAATTACTGCCAGAAAAAATTTAAAAATCGCTTCTATTATATATCATTAGTACTAAAAAAAAAAATCTTTTTTTGAGACAGGGTCTCTCTGTAGCCCTAGCAAATGCCTCAGGAGTGCTTCAAAGGTGTGTGCTATCATGCATAGCCTGCTTTCTTTTTTTTACTATTTAATTTTTTTGCTCTATCCTTTTATAAACCAAATTATAATGAAAATGTCTATAGTAAGAACCCACTCTAACATGAACACATCACTTCCAAACAAAAGCAAGCTATTGTATAACCCAATGTAGGATAATTCATTAATAACCTTAGCTTTTTTTTTTGGTCTTTTTGAGACAGGGTTTCCCTGTAACCCTAGCTGTCCTGAATTCACTATGGAGACCAGGCTGGCCTCGAACTCACAGAGATCCGCCTGCCTCTGCCTCCTGAGTGCTGGGATTAAAGGCATGCACCAACACGCCCAGCTATAACCTTAGCTTTTTAATTTCAAGTGCTGGGTTTTTTTTTTTTTTTTTTTTTTTTGGTCTTTTTGAGATAGGGTCTCCCTGTAGCCCCAGCTGGCCTTGAACTCACAGAGATCTGCCTGCCTCTGCCTACCAAGTGCTGGGATTAAAGACATGTGCCATCACAACTGGCTGTCAAGTGCTTCTTAAAGTTACTGGCTTTTACTGGTGGTGAGCTTAATAAATAATATGACTGGGGCTGGAGAGATGGCTTAGTGGTTAAGAACACTGACTGTTCTTGCAGAAGACCCAGGTTCGAATCCCAGCACCCACATGGCAGTTAACAACTAACTCCAGTTTCAGGGGCTCCGACAGCCTCTTCTGTCCTCCATGGGCACTGCACAACACAGGTGCACTTATCTAAATGCAGGCATAATAATCATACACATAAAATAAAAATAATAAAATAAATAATATGATTAACGAAGTAATGAACATAATACTGAAATCTTAGGAAACAGATAAACGAAAAATTCAAAGTCACTATTCCAATGGGATTTTTCCTTCCAATTTCTTGTTTTTTCTTCAGTACTGTGAACTGAACTTAGGGCCTAACACATTCAAGGCAAGCACTACACGGCTGAGTTATATTCTCAGTCCAGCTGGTCTAGAACTCACTATGTAGACCAGGCTGTCCTTGAATTCAGAGATCCACCTGCCTCTGCCTCCAGAGTGCTTGGATTAAAGACATGCGGCACCACACCTGGCTTCCTGCCAATTTTCAAGGCAAATTATTAGCTTAGTAATTCTAATTTGTAAAGCAGTAAAATGGGAGTATAGATAGCATTTCTAAAATTTATTATTTTAAAGACTTGTTTCCTAAGTATACAAAGAGATTCCTTAAAAAATAGTAAGATTAAGCTGGACATGGTGTTACACACCTTTAATCCAATTTAAGGACACCCTGGTCTATATAGTAAGTTCGAGGTCAATCAAGGTTACATAGTGAGACACTGTCTCAAAAAAAAAAGTAAGATTAAAATTTCTTCACATTTAAAAATAATCCCTCAATTCTTATTTTAGGCATCTATTTATACTTGATTTAAACTTTGAAAGAATTAGAGAACACATTATGCTTTAGATCAGGGCTTCATAAACTTTATTCACTCATGACCTCTTTTTGTCCAAGAAATTTTTATTTGGCCCCAGGTATATAGATATGTAAAATAAGTATACAGATCAAACATTAATGATAATAAATCATAAAGAGTTTTATTTTAAAATGACTATTTGGTATACATATAATTTTATCATTAATTAAAGATAAAGTAAATTTGCAATTAGTGAGAAGGATGTATTTATTTTTACATAAAGAATTAAATCTTGGTTGAATATTTGATACCACAGGATACAGACTGTTTTCAACATTTTTCAGAGTTGATCAATATTTTGATCTTATCATCAATGTTGAGAATGCTGCTTCACATAAATATGTAGGACAAAATGGCAGAAATATGTTTAGGGCCATCTCAGAAATTGTTGGAAATTTTATCTTAATCCCAAGCCAATTTTAATTTGAAGATCTTTTTAAAAAATTAAATTCAGGGGCTAGAGACATGGCTCAGCAGTTAAGAACACTCGTTCTTGCAGAAGACCCGGGTTCGAATCCCAGCACCCACATGGCAGCTAACAACTGTCCCTAACTCCAGTTCCAGGAGATCCAACAGCCTCTTTTGTCCTCCTCCAGCACTGCATGACATGGGTACACTTACCTACACACAGGCAATACACACATACACATAAAATAAAAATAATAAATAAAATATTTTTTAAAAAATTAAATTCAAAGCTAGGCATGGTGGCGCATGCATGTAGTCCCAGCACTTGGGAGGCAGAGGCAGGCAGATCTCTGTGAGTTCAAGGCCAGCCTGGTCTACATAGTGAGTTCCAGGACAGCTGGGGCCACAGGGAGGCCTCGCTTCAAAAAGACCAAAAAAAAAATTAAATTCAAGGCAGCAACTCACACAGCCATTTTAATGAGCAAATACAGCACAATACAACCTAAAGATATAGTAATTTGATACTTACCTGCTAAGGAACGATGGTAGGAAAGTATTAAGTCTTTGTTTTCTATAATTAAACCATTGTGTTTCTATAACAGCAGAAAATTTTTGTATAAACAGTAAAAACACTGCAATTCCTAACATACTAATAGTGTTGAGTCTGAGCCAAAGTAAACATTGGTCAGCCATGCATGGTATGTTAGCAGTGTGGTGTATATTGCATGTTTAGAACCAAGGCTGCCATAAAGGCCACCAATGAAGCAGACTAGCACTGCCAGAAACACTTCAGACCTATTACATGTTTGGTTTTGAATTAATTTTTGACTACTGCATATTCAGAAACCTTTTGTTACTGCCAATTTTTTTTGAGACTCCCAAATTCATTTACATCTCCCCATATAAGGTTGTCATCCACAGTTTAAGAAACTGAGATTTAGAGGAAGTTTAAAGAATACATAGTTTTTCTTTCCTTTCCTTTTCTTTCTTTCCTTTTTTCATGGATTAAAAAAAGTATATATATATATGAGTGTATAGCCTAGATGTATGTAAGTACACCCATGTCATGTAATACCTGTGGATGCCAGAAGAGGGTATTGGTTGTTAGTCACCATGTGGATGTTGGAAACTGAACCTGAGTCCCCTGCAAGTGCAGCCAGTGCTCTTAACCACTAAGCCACCCCTCTAGTCCCATTTTTTATGGATTTTTGAAGTAAGGTTTCCCTGTGTAGTAAAGGCTACACTGAACCTGAACATGATACTCTGTCTTACATGTCTGTAAATACTCTGTGATTTACAGATGTGTAACAACACTGGGCTCATTTTTTATGTGTGTGTGTGTGTGTGTGTATGTGTGTATAATGTGTGTTCATATAGACAGACACAGTGAGAGAGATAGATAGCAACAGATGATCTCTTATAGTCCAAGCTGGCCTCAAATTCACTGTGTAGCCAAAGCTGCCCTTCAACTGATTTTCTTGCCTCTACCTCCCAACTACCA